CCAGTCACCAATTATTAGAGAAATGTAAATTTAAAAAAACTTTGACATTTTAGTTCCCAACCACAAGATTAGCAAAATTGACAAAAAATGGAAATGACATACTGATATATGTAGCAAGAGGACAAAGGGAGAAAGGGAATAAACATTTTTGTAGTGCCTATAACATGCCTGGTATTGTGCCAAGTGTGTTCTAATAATATGTTGGTAAAGTTGTTTTAATTTGCATTTCTCCAGTTCACTATATAATACTAGAAATGAGACCTTTAACAGAGAAACTTGCTGCAAAGATCCCTACCTCCAACTTCCTGCTTTTCTTCTAATTTAACTTCATTGGTTTTGTTTATGTAGTTTTTTTTTTAAGGTTATTAAAACTGTCCATTTCACTTCCTATGGACCTATCTCTCTCTTTTTTTTTTTTTGGTGAGGCAATTGGAGTTAAGTGACTTGCCAAGAGTCACACAGCTAGTGAGTGTCATGTATCTGATGCCGCATTTGAACTTGGGTCTTCCCCACTCCAGGGCCAGTACTCTATCCACTGGGCCACCTACCTGCCCCAGACCTGTCTCTTATTTAGTCAGAAACTCTTCTGCTAAACATAGATCTGAAAGGTAATTTTTCCATGCTCTTTTAATTTGTTTATGATATCACTCTTTATGTCTGTATCATGTCTCTCTTTGGGATTTGTCTTGGTATATATGTGAGAAGTTGGTTTATATCTCGTTTCTGCTGATCTCCTTTCCATTTTTACCAATGTTTTTCAACAAATATTGAGTTCTTGTCCCAATGGCTTTGTCAGTTAAAGAGGTATTTAATATTTCTGCTTTTCTGTATTAGTTTATGAGGTTTTTTTTTATGTCCTAATACATGGTCAATTTTTGTGAAAACGACATGTACAGATCAGAAGTAGGTATTCTTTCTACTCTCATTAAATATTCTCTAGACATTTATCATAGTCAACTTTTCTAAACTTCTAGTTCTTCATTTCTTTTTTAATTTATTTTTGGTGAGATTTATCTAAATTTAAGAGAAGTAAATTTAGGTTCCCTACTATTAGTTTTGGCTTATTTCTGCTCATTTAACTTTTCCTTTAAGAATTTAAATGCTGTGTCACTTGGAACACATATGATTAATATATGAATTCATTGTTTACGGTAACTTTTAGCAAAATGTTGTTTCCCTCTTTATCTTTTCAATTAGGTCTATATTTGCCACTGCTTTGTCTGAGATCAGAACTGCTACTTCACATGGTATGGGCATAATAAATTCTGTTCCAGCTCCTTATTTTAATTCTATCTTTCTGTTTTGTTGGGAGTTTTTTTCCTTAACAACATTTTATTGGATTCTAGTTTCTAATTTATTCTGCTATGCTGTTACATTTTATTGGTAAGTTCATCCCATTCACATTGACAATTATGATTGCTAATTATGTATTTTCTTCCACCCTATTATCTTCCTTTTCTTTCCTGCTCTTAAGAGCTTTATTCTGCCATTTCCCTTAACTCCTTTGTCTCCTCTTTCTGTACTGGGTAAAATGAATTTCTGTTCCCAGCTGTGTATGCATACTCTTTCCTACTTTGACAATTTAGATAAGAGTGAGGTTTAAGTGTCTTCTTCTCACCCATGCCCCTTCTGGTTGTATAGACCTCTATTTGCACTCCATTTATAAGAAATAATTTCCACCATTCTCCCTTTCCTTCCCCTCTTTCTCAGTGTATAACTCTTCCCTATCCTTTATATTCTTCTTTTAAGATCATCAAAACATAACAGAATCAGCCTGCTATCTAATCAGACCCCCCCCATCACTCCTGATGATAGAGTTCTTAGGAACTATGTATATTACATTTCCTTCCCATATAAGAATGTAAACAGTTTAACATCTTTCGGTCCCTTATGCTTGCTTGCTTATGTTTTCATTTCTATGCTTCTTTTGACTCCTGTTTTTATGTCAAGTTTTCTAAACAGATTTGGTTTTTTTTCCCCCCAATTAGGAATGCTTGGAAGCCCTCTATTTCATTGAAGATCCATTTCCCCCCCGTGAAATTATACTCAGTTTTGCTGCATAAGTTATTTTTAGTTGTAAACCTAGATCTTGTGCCTTTTTGAATATCATATTCCATACTCTCAATTTCTTTTATTGTGTTGACTACTAGATCTTATGTGATCCTGCCTGTTGCTCCTCAGAACTTGAATTCTTTCATTCTGTTTCCTTTCAGTATTTTTTCTTTGAACTGGGAGCACTGGGTTTTGTCTACTAAATATTCCTGGGAGGTTTCAAATGGGGGTTTCTTTCATTTTTTTCTTTTTACTTTGCCCTCTGGTTCTAAGAGATCTGAGAAGTTTCCCTTTATGATTTCTTGAAATATGATGCTTAGGCTCTTTTTTTGTGTTCATGACTTTCAGGTAGTCCAAATAATTTTTAAGTTATCTCTCCTCAATCTGTTTTCCAGGTCAGTCATTATAGCTGTAGTTTCAAATTATCTCATTCTTTTGACTTTGTTTTATTATTCTTGATGTCTTGTGGAATCATTAACATCTATTAGAACAATTCTAACTTTCAGGGATTTATTTTCTCATGTAAAGCTTTGCACCTCTTGTTCCAAGTTGATAACTCTCTTTTCATATCTTCTTTCCATAGCTTTTCTTTCCTCATTCTTTCTTCTTCTATGCTGATTTTTAAAAATTTTTTTTTTGCCTTTAAAAAAAAAACTTTAACTCTTCTAGGAATTCTGGTTGAACTTGTGTCCAAGCTTCATTTTGTTTTGAGCATTTTCTTGTAGACATTTTTGAGTCATTCTCTTCTGGGTTTGTTTTTTGAGCATCCCTGTCACAAAAATAGCTCTTTGTGATGGGATTCTTTTTTTGTTTATTCATTCCTCCAGTCTCCTTCTTGACGATGGATTGTTAGTACTGGGCTCAGCATACTTAAAGAACTAATGTCTGGCTTGAATTTTTGTTCTATCTTCTCCTATTGCTTTCACAGCTCAGGCTGGGGAGTGTGAGAGAGAGAGAGAGTGTGTGCATGTGTTTTTAAAAGTGCATGCAAGTTTTCATTGCTCCTAAAGTGGTATCATCTGAGGAAAAGTCTGTTCACTTCCCTCTTGGTCTGAGATGTGCAAATTCCTTACCTTGGTTTTGGTCTGTTGACTTTCCCTAGTTGGTAGTTTCAGTAGAAATAGGGGCAGCTAGGTGGCACAGTGGATAGAATGCCTGGCCTGGCATCGGGAAGACCTGAGTTACAATTCAGCCTCAGATACTTCCTAGTTGTATGACCCTGGGCAAGTCACTTAACCTCTCTTTGCCTCAGTTTCTTCATCTATAAAATGAGGATAAAATTGCATTTACCTCCTAGAGTTGTTATGAGGATCAAATGAAATAACTGTAAAGCAGTTAGCACAGTGCCTGGCACATAATAAGCACTATATAAATATTAGTTATTATTATTATTATATACAACTGCTGGCTTCAGCCACTACCAGCCACTGGGAAGCTCTGTAAGTTCAATTACTGAACTATAGGTTCCCCTTTAGCCTGGTACTTCTGCCCTATTTATTCTATAGCAGACTTCCACCCTGGGCTAGCAGCTAGAATCATGTCCCAGCTCTGCTCCTGAGATCAGAGGCCACAGTTGTTACTTTTTCTGTCAAACTTGCTCCTTTCTCATTGCACATATAGGGCTTGCTAATAACCTCTCCTCTAACTATCTATCTCTACCTAATTCCCACCCCTTTTTAACCCTCTTAGAGAACATAAGCAAGAGACTTACTAAATGTCACTTATTCCTTTACTTTGTGTTAGTCCAAGGATCCCTGTAGCCTCATCACATTTTGGTGTCCAGTTGCGGCTCTCTTTCAGTCCCAGGAGTTTGAATGCTCCATGTGCAGCATACTTCTAGCCAGACACCGTTCTCACCATTCACAGATCTCTTTATCTCCCTAAGCTACCCTAAACTGGAATATGATTTGCTATGGCTTTTTTGTTGGGTTTCCCAATGAGGATCCTCTCTGTATGCTTCCTAGATCTTTGTGGAAGAGGTTTGGTGAGAGAATAGGCTATATTTTCTTGCTTCTCCTACTCCATATTGACTCTGCTTCCACAAGCATTCATTCTGAGAGATTGTGAAGAACAGAACCCAAGATAGAAAGGTTTGGACAATGGGCCTAGGGTTAGACTATGTATCTACTCCAAAAGAACCAGGCTCCTCATCATCATCTAATATGTGTTCACTGGGCAATACATTTTTTTTTGGTCACAGTAATACACAAAAACCAACTAGTAGAGCATTAGTGATTCTAATTTACGTTGGTCCAGAAAGTACCCATACCAATAAAATGACAGATTAAATGTGCATAGAGGTAAGGGGTGGGGGAAAGCAAGGATGGGTACAAATACATATAAAAGGCAATATGGTGTTATATATTCATACTCAGAAATACCTGGGTTCAACTTCTGCCTCTGACATTTACTAGCTGTGCGGCATAGGCAAGAAAATTAAACTCTACAAAAGAGCAAGTTGTGATCTGACTCAGTGAAGGGAATTCCCACACTGATATCACAGACCTTTGACACACTGACATACATGTATGTAAAAGGCACAATATTTATAGCTTTCATTTAATATGAATTTGATATATACTATTTGTTTCCATGGACATCTCACCAAATTGTAATTATAGAAAAATTAAAAGTTTATGATAGCAAGAAGATTCTTAATATACCCTAAGTCTTCACATAAACAGAGTGAATTCAAGAAAAGAGGCAAAACTAATTCTCATGTTTAACCAAATCTCTGCCATTCTTAAGCAGCTTTTCTGTGTCTCATGTATCAAAATCAAGAAAAGCCAATAAAAGAATGAAATATGTTAAGTGCCAAGAAAGATTGATAAAAAAAATTTAACTGAAAAAGAACTAGCATGTATTTATGACACCAAGTCCACATATGACATAATGAATATATTGTATTCTTCACAAAAATTTAGTTTATAACAACAGAAGTACTTCACCTTGTTTTAGATCAACTCTTTTAGTAACTTGTGAAAGATAGGAGTTTGGTAAAGAGCATGATGAAAACATTGGCCAAGGATATGGATCATTACCCTAAAAAGAAGAGGGAAAAATAACTGACATCAGCTATGAATCATTAAGAGTTTATTTTATTTTATCCATTTATATATCTTGTGTAATCTATTCTATGGTATTTGTCTCTTGTAACTTCTAGAATTACTGTCTAATTACTAGAATTCTTTTTAATACCATAATTTAATATACTTTGAATGAAAGATTAACACATACAAGTATTTAATCTGTGCTAATCCCAAAATTTGTTATGGCTAACCAAGGAAGACAACATTGCTTTTACTATTTTTTTCATGATAGGAAAAGCATAGCGTTCAATGAAAAAAAATGTTAGAATCAATTTTATTCAACAATCTGCCTGTCCCCTCTGCTTAAGTAATTTTATTTCTTCTTTATCAGTCATAAGAGAAATACAATACTTAAGAAAAAACTTCTTTAGCCAATAACAAACTATATGAATCCTAATGAGGGTACAAGAGCTTAAATTGTCAAGGAAATTAAAAAAAACCTTTTTATAAAAAGCAGACATTACATAAAGAAAGTAAAAATCAAAGATACACAGAAAGAGGGAATGACAGAAGCAATATGCTTTGGTTTTCCCCTTCAGTAATATTTATAAATGCTGGAAATTAGGAATAAAATTGTAATAAGAATAAAATATGTACAACTACACTTTCAAATAGGTAACAAAAAATTGGCAGCACTGTGACAGACAAAAGGGATAAGGGAACTTTTAAATCAGGCTATTCTGTTACCAAATTCAAAAAGTGTGTTTGTATTACATGAATATATGGAAAACAACATTTTTTTTTACTTACCTTTTGTAGTGCCCTGGGTGGTAAAATCCGTTCTAAAGGTCCACCAATAAGATTTATTCTAACAAGAACATGATTTCTTTCTACTGACAGGCCATCAATTATAAAGTCCCTGAAAAACAAAACTCTCATTTTTATTTTGTTGTTGCTGTTGTTGTTCAGCCATGTTTGACTCTTTGAGACTCCATTTTGGGTTTTCTTCACAAGATACTAGTTTGCCATTTCCTTCCCCAGCTCATTTTACAGTTGAAGAAACTGAGGTAAACAGGGTTAAGTGACTTGCCCAGGGTCACTCAGCTACTATGTGTCTGAGGCCGGATTTCAAATCATGTCTTACAGATCCGAGCCTGGCACTGTATCCACTATGCCACCTAGCTGCCCATATTTTTTCATTTATCAGCATTTAATTTCATAATGATGTATGATTAAAATTAACATAATGACCTCTAAAAAGCAGGAGATAATTTGTAAAATAAGAATTGGGAAAAAATCAACAATTAAAGGTGTACATTTGTTCACATTTAAAATGTAGGGCTTGGATTGGATGATTTATAAAATTTATTCTAATTCCCAGATACTTTACTATACCTTATCAATGAAAATCCTCTATAACCTCTCACACACTGTAAGTCTCCATCTGAAACTACAAGTAAGCTCTCAGATTTGTGAACCTGATCCCTTCTTTGGTTAGTATGCTTTCTGTTTTTTTTGGTTTTTTAAGTTATTTCTTACCTCTGGCCTCCATCGATCTCCAAAACATTTTCCTCTTGAGCATTTAACAGCACTGCAGACACTTGGTACTGAGACTCTAAAAGCAGAAGGGTATCTAGATCACAGCATAATACATTTAATAACCTGTATATTGGGAAAATAAAATGATAATAATTTAGATAAGAGTCTGAAGATTAGGATGAAGAAAATTAAGAAACATTCATTAGATCTTAAAGATACTTTGTGATTAGGACCATAGAGAACGGGGAAAAGGTCACACATAGATTCCTTTATGCCCATTTGACTCATTATACTTATATATTAAGAAAAGCAGGTTTAAAATATGTGTGTGTGTGTGTGTGTGTGTGTGTGTGTGTATACACACACACACACACACACACACATGTTTAATAGTCCTCCACCTTCCTATTTATTTTGAAAACTAAAGAAAATACCTTAAATTCATATTGATGGTTTTAATCCAGTATTGAAAATACCACATAAATCTGACAGGAAGAGAGTCTGGTATATTATGCTCTGGTGCATCCCATTTGAGGACTGAGAGGGCCTTGTGAAAACCCTGAGGCCAGAAGCACCTTTTTGTCTCCTTGTCTTTTGCACCTGTTTTTTAATCCTGATTTGGTTATTGCACCTGATTATCTTGATTTATTCTTCCCACTGTTCTTTTGATAATGCTTAATTCTGTCCTCACATTCCTCTAGATTCTTGTAACAAATGTTGTGTGAGTATCCCAAATTTCTTCTTACAGAATAATGCCAAATTATATCACTTACTTTTTTGAGCACTGTTTTTAAAAAAAAAATTTACATACAAAACATTATTAACTAATGACTTAAAATCATCAGAAAATCAGTTTATATTGAAATATTACCAGTAGTTGTATGCATCATGTACCTTTAATGCAGAATTTTCAAATTTAAAATACATAACTATCCAAAATGCACAAAATTTCTTGATCTCCAGAATTATAGATTTTGGAACCAATTAAAGAAGAGTGTCTGTTTCCTCAAAAGTATTTTGGCTCTTTCATTATGTTGTTTATTAAGACTTTACATTTATCCCTAACACATTTCAACTTATTACACGGTCTTCCATTATCTTTTTGGATCCTGACAATCATTCAGAATGCTAGCTATCCTTTCTGACTCTGTCAACAAAAAAATTGATGAGCATGCCATCTATGGCCTTATCCACGCCAATGTTAAAAATGTTGAACATCACTGGGCTAAGTACAGATCTCTAAGTCATTCTCCAGGAGATCTACTGCCACATTAATCTTAGATAATTCTTTCAATCACTTCTGAATTCACCTAATTAATTGGATTATAATCAACTGCAAATTTCTTCATACTCTTTACTAGAAAAGTATGAGATACATTAAGATTTGTTTAAAAAAAATCTAGGTAATGTATATCTACACCATTTCCCTCATCTTGCAGTTTAATAATTCTGTCCAAAAAATGAAGTTAGTATTGTATGACCTAATCTTGATGAAGTAAGGTGGTGCTTTACAATCACTTGACTGACCCTTTCTTTAATGATCTATTCTTGAATTTTCCCAAGAGGCTAAAAAAAGAAACCAACAAAGCTCACTGTTTGAAGAGTTGTTATAATTTAAAGATTCTGTTCTCTTCCCACTTTTGAAAACTGGAAAAACATTTATTCAATTTGTTGGTACTTTTCCCATTACATCTGCCAGTTCTTTCAGTAAATGAGAATGAAGTCCTTCTGGGCCAGGTGACTTGAATTCATCAAGAAAATTTTGGAAAGCTCTTACTATTTTTTAATGAAAGTATCAAACTATCTTAAGTATCATCATGGAGTATTATTGTGCCATCAGAAATGACAAATATGAGGAATTCAATTACTTCAGTAATACCTCTATGAACTAAAGCAGTTTAAAAATGGGAGCCAGTGAGGCAAAATGGGGGGAAAATTGGATTTGAGGTCAAGTTCTTATCCTGTCTCTGCTACTTACAACCTGTGTGAGCTTAGGCAAGGCACTCACCCACTCTGAGCCTCAGTTTCTCATATGTAAAATGAGTGATTTGGACTAGATGGCTCCTTCTAGGATCCCATTAAATATTATTGTACATCTATAATCTTATAATCCCATGAGGTAACCAGAAGTGGGAGAATAAAATATATTCAATAATATAAATAAAAAGAATGCTAAATGAAGTTCAACACTGAAGCATATATAAAAATCTAGTCCACAGAGAAGAGGTGTAACTATCTTCCATCTTGAGGAGAGAGATGAATGATTATGCAGGTAGTATGTCACATACACTGCAAGTGACCATTGTGTTAATGAGATTTTGCTTATATTTTTCTTTATAACCAGGGAGGACTCATTTGGTGGAAGAAGAGAAAATATATCAAGGAATGGCTGTAATTTAAAAATAAAAAGTATCCTTAAAAGTAGAGGAGTCAGGAGGGATAGGAAATAGGAGATACACACAAACATAAAATAAAGATGAGATGTAGGATTTAACAGGGGGAAAAAAAGCAAGATTAGTAATCATGATCTCAGACAAAGTTAAAGCTAAAATAGATTTAATCAGAAAAGAAAAATAGGGAAACTATACTATGTGTCAGCCATATTAATCAATATTGTTGTTATACACTATTTAAAATAACTAGACAATATAAGGTCAGAATATTGCTATGATAGAAAAACAATGAATTGGGGGACTTAGAAAAACAGGAAAGAACCTGGACCTATGAAGATGTTATCCACCCTCAGAGAAACAGAGGACAAACAAGTACAGTACAGTCTTACATAGGTGCATATGAATGTATTTATCTATACATCAGTATGATTATAGACATCTAAATATACATATAAGTGTATATATGTATCTATATATGCTTGTGTGCATAAGTGTGTATGTATATAGGTATATGTGTGTGTGTGTGTGTATGTGTGTGTATAGGGAGGAAAAAAGAACAAAGTAAAAAGTGCACAGCTGAGAACAAAAGAAAACTTATAAGGAAGCAAAGAAAAGAATAGCTCAAAACACAATGTGTAGTATTTACTATATAGGCTTTCTTAAAATGGCAATTTAATCCTGTATATTTTGAACCCTCTCTTAGGTTTTGCTGTATACATGGCAACGCTTTTTTTCTTTTCTTTTTCATATTTAAGTTTTGGTAATGTATTTAAGTTTAAATTAATTTATAAAAAGAAAAAAAAGAAAATAAATTAAATTTTAAAAAAGAAAATTAATTGCTTGATCTCTTTGAAAAGCAGTCTGCTCACGGGGCAGCTAAGTGGCACAGTGGATAGTGCACCAGCCCTGGATTCAGGAGGACCTGAGTTCAAATCCAGCCTCAGACACATAACACTTACCACCTGTGTGACCCTGGGCAAGTCACTTAACCCCATTGCCTAACCAAAGAAGAAAAGAAAAATAGTCTGCCCATTGACCTCTTCATGTTCTTGAAGAACAATTAATTTTTTTAGTCAAAAAAAATTGCTTGACTTTAACAAAACTGAAAAAAAACTTTTTAAAGCAAATACTTTAAAATCTAGTATCCTTTTGGGATTATTTTTTTATCAATGTGACCTACAATCAACAACACAAAGGAAATTTTGGAAACTGAGCTAATACTTAGACATAGCTGATCTATTAACATTTCTAAAATATTTTATTGATATCTTTTATATTTATCTTTATATTCCCAAAACTCATTTCCTGATTATCTATTAATTAATGTTTGTTAAATTCATTTTTAATAGTTAAGAGACAGAAATTTCACCCCAGTGGTTACAAGAAAAACTCAGAAAATCCAAGTTGTAACGAACATTAAAGCAACAGTGACAATTCAAAAATACCCTCATATTCCATCAAAACCAAAGGGTCTCTTCAAGAGTTAAGAAGGCTTCAATTCAGTATGAAGCTTCAGAGTGATGCACAGCAGGCAACTTATTGTTCTTACACAATGAAACAGAATCTAGACCAAAGAATGCCATAATTTCATTAAGCAAAATAACAATGAATAAAGTGAAAAGTCCAAATAAAACAATATAATAGGATCTTTTGCCTGGGGTAGACTTCAAACTGTTAGGTAACAACTTCTTTTTCATTGTTTTGAGATCACAAATGAAATAATAAAAAATGGTGATTAATAATTGATATTAAAGGTTCTTATTTGGTACAGGAGAAAAAAATTAATACAAATTATTTTTAACATCCTGAAGAGAAACTTGTTTTAATGTAAATGAACATATGCATTCTAAGGAAAAGAATCCCATACCTCAGACCAAAAATATGTGATTGTTCATAGTTGAATAATGATCGTATCTTGGCTTCAGAATTCAAAATGATAAGTCTATCAATAATATCCTGAAAAAGAAAGAGATGAGTAATACTGCATATTATATAACAAATATTTATTGAGAGGAAAAAAATGTGGTTCATATAAAAGTCACTGACAACTTGCTGAAGCTATGCCGCTCAGATCTCCTCAATATACTGTGAGGCTTTCTAGGACATAATATGGGGTACAAAACTTTACTCTAAGGAACACTTCGATGAAACATTGAAACGATAAGTTATTATATATGTATATGTCTTATACTGTAAAATATATGTATAATACACATGTACATATAAAAAGCACTACATAGTGCTAGCTATCATATACAGCTTTCATGTATGCATATATATAGCTTTTGTGTATGTGTGTGTATATATACATATATATTATAGCTAGCATTTATACAGTGTTTTAATGTGTGCAAATTGCTTTACATAGGTTATCTCATTTGATCTTCACAACAACCCTGTGAAACAGACACTATGATTATCCCCATTTAACAGTTGAGGAAACTGAGGTTGAGAAAGGTTAAGTGATTTGCCCAGGGTTACAGAGCTAGCAGATATCAAAGGCAGGATCCAAACACAGATCTTCCTGACTCTAAGTCCAGCAATCTACATATACCAGCACCTACTTGCTGTGTATGTGTGAATATATACATATATACATACACACAAACACACATAAATATAATGTATACATATACAAATACTATAGATATATACACACATATACAGTCAATGAAGATATTTGAATTTCTAAAATATAATTGACTCTGCCATCCTTTCAAGCTCCTCCCTTTCTTTTTTTTCAATTGTTCAAAACATATTTCCATATCAGCCATGTCACAAAAAAGCAAGAAAAATAATGCAAAGAGAAAATTATGCTTTAATTCACACTCAGAGTTCATCAGTCCTGTCTGCAAATAGAGAGCATTTTTTCTTCATGAGTCTTTTGGAATGTCTTGTATCATTGTACTGATCACAGCAGCCAAGTTTTTCATAATTGATCATTAAAACATTGCTATTATTGTACACAATGATATCCTTGTTCTTCTCACTTCACCTAGCATTGGTCCATACAGATCTTGCCATGTTTCTTTTTTTCTGAAACTTTCCCTCTTACCCTTTCTTATACTACAATAGCATCCCTTCACCATCATATGCCACAGTTTTTTCAGCCATTCCCCAATTGATGGGCATCCCCTCGATTTACAATTCTTTGCTACCTCAAAAAGAGCTGCTACAAACATTTTTGTACATAGAAGTCCTTTTCTTTTTTCTTTGATTTCTTTGGCGCACAGACCTACTAGTGTTATTGCTGGGTCGAAGGGCAGGTGCAGTTTTGTAGCCCTTTGGGCATAGTTCCAAATTGTTCTCCAAAATGGCTGGACTAGTTTACTACACCACCACAAGTTCACTGGTGTACCTAGTTTCATCTCATCCCCTCCAGCAACTGTCATTTCTGACAGGTGTGAGGTGGTACCTCAGAGTTGTTTTAATTTGCTATTCTCTAATCAACAGTGATTTAGAACATTTTCTTCATATAACTAAAATGTTTTGATTTTTTCTGAAAACTGCCTATTTATATTCTTAGGAGAATGACTCTTATTTCTATAAATTTGACTCAGTTCTACTCTCAGTCCATATTTGAGAAATGAGGCTTTTATTACAGAAATTTGCTGTAAAATTTTTTTTGACATTACTTCATTGTCTAAGGTACTTTTTAGCATAATTATCTCTTTTAATTAAATCTGGTTTTGTTTTTACTTTGTCTGAGATCATGATTACTAACTGCATTTCCCTCATCCTATTTTCTGTTTACTCACTCTCCTCTACTCCTCCTCCTCCTCACCCATCCTCTCTCTCTCTCTCTCTTTACCCTTATCTAAAGTCTGTTTTGCTTCTGACCTCTGTTTTCTTTTATCTCCCCTCCTTTTTTTTTTATCATCCATCCTTCTCTCTTGTCCCTTTTCCTTCTTTCCCTTATTGCATGTTACATCTCTACACACAACTGAGTGTATATATTCTTACCTCTTTAAACCAATTCTAATGAGAGTTCAAGAACTGCTCACCCCCACTATTTTCCTCTCCATTATAAAAGCTCTTCTTTGTGTGCCTCTCTCATTTGAGAAAAAAATTCCCATTCTACCTCTCCCTTCCCCCTTTACCCAATGCATACCTTTTTCTCACCCCTTCACTGTTTTTTGGAAATCATTCCAACATAATTGACTCATACCAGTGCCCTGTCTATGTATACTCCTTTTAACTGCCCTGATAATGATAAAGTAAGGTCTTAGGAGTTCTTCCCATATAGGAATATAAATAGTTTAACTTTATTAAGTTCCTTATGACTACTCTTTCCTGCTTACCTTTTTATGCTTCTTTTGGGTCTTGTGTTTGAATACCAAATTTTCTATTCACCTCTGGTATTTTCATCACTAATGCTTGAAAGTCCTATATTTCCTTAAACATCCATTTTTTCCCCCTGAAGCATTGCACTTAGTTTTGCTGGTGAGGTTATTCTTGGTTGTAATCCTAGCTTTTTTGCCTTTTGGAATATCATACCCCACCCCTAGGCTCCTTTAATGTGGAAGCCACTAAATCTTGTTTGATCCTGACTGTGGCTCCATAATATTTGAACTGTTTCTTTCTAGCTGCTTTAAGTGTTTTCTCTTTGATGTGTCAGCTCTGGAATTTGGTTGTAATATTTCAGGGAGTTTTCATTTTTTAATCTCTTTCAGGATGTGATTGGCAGATTCTTTCCATTTCAATTTTACACTCTGGATCTAAGATATCAGGGCAGTTTTCCTTGATAATTCCTTCAACTATCATATCTAGGCTCTTTCTTTGATAATGGCATTCAGGTAATACAATAATTACTAAATTATCTCTTCTCAATCTAATTTCAATGTATGTTGTTTTTCAGACAAAATATTTCACATTTTCTTCTATTTTTTCATTCTTATGACTTTATTTCTTGATGTCTTATGGAGTCATTTCCTCCCATTATCCCAATTATAACTTTTAAGGAATTAATTTCTTCAATGAGCTTTTATATCTCTTTTTCCATTTGGTCTATTCTGCTTTTTAAGGAGTTCTTCTCTTCAATGAATTTTTGTGCCTCTTTTACCATTTGGCCAATTCTGTTTTTTAAATGTGTTGTTTTCTTCAGTATCTTTTTTTTTGCCTCTTTTACCAAGATGTTAATTCTCTTTTCATAATTTTCTTGTATCCCTCTTATTTCTTTTCCCAATTTTTTTCTCTACCACTTTTCTCTTTCTTTAACTCTTCCAGGAATTCTTGTTGGGTTTTGGTCCAAATGGCATTTTTCTTTGGGGATTTTTTTGTAGTTGTTGTCCCATCATTGTCTTCTTCTGGGTTTATATCTTAGTATTCCCTACCTCCATGGTAGCTTTTTATGGTCAAATTATTTTTATTTTGCTCATTTTTCCAGTATACTTCTTGACTTTGAACTTTATATTAAAGTCCGACTCTACTCAGCTGGGGATGGGGAGACAGTCCCAAGCTTCAGCTTTTCGTACTACTGTTTTCAAAGCTAGTTCTGGGAGTCTGCAAGTTTTGGGAGCTTCTAAGGTGATGTGATCCTGGGAAAAGTATGGTCACTGTTCTCCTGGTCTGAGCTCTGGTTTTTAACCAGAAAGGGCCCCTGGTCCCCTACAACTAACAATGCTAGCAGTAACATTCTCTTTGCCTTGGAATTGTGACCTAGGCCCCTACTCCTTTGTGACAGACCAACAACACTCCTCTCTGTACAGGAACTGCAACCCAGAACTGTAAATTGACAATAGAGTTGTCAATCAGCATCAACTGTATCCAATGCAAACAAAGGGTCCCTTGTAATCTCTTTGTGACAAGTTGTCCAAGTCCCTTCCCATCTCTGGGCTGAGAACTCCTAAAGCTGCTGCTGCAACAGATGTTGCCACTGCAGCACATATAGGCTTAGGACAGGCTTCCAACCTGGTGCCACAGACTTTTCTTATAATCTCTTAAGTTTTCTTAGGCTGAAAAAATGTCTCACTCTAACCTTTTGTTGGCATTGCTATTCCAAAATTTAATCTGAGATGTTATTCTAAAGTTGTTTGAAGTGGAATGCTGGGAGAATAGCTGGGTGGCTGCTCCTAATCTATCATCTTGGCTCCCCCCTCCTCTATTTCGAAAGCAAATTCCTAGAAAAGCAGTTTACATCCTCTTCCCCAACTCCCACTCAATGCATGACCTCTTAGAATTTGGCTTCTGACACCACCATAGGCCTGAAACTGTTCTTTCTAAAGCTAACAATGATTTCTTAATTACTAAATTCAATTACTTTTTCTCAGTATTTACCCTCAGTAATCAAAAATTTATACTAAAAATCCAAAAACAATATTAGAATAAGACAAATCAAACAAAACCAGGAAACACAAATATCTTAAATTTTCATATGCAAATAACATCAGTTCGATTTGCTAGTATAAATATTATCTACCCTAAGAAACCAATGATTAAAATAGTACATAAAATTAGTCTAATTTTTATAGTAGATGGCAGTGTGTATAATCTCTTATAACCAGTTTTGCCAAGGAAACTGCCTTGATATTGTTTTCTCTATGATTACCTATATTACATGCTATTATAAGGTAGGATAACTACAACAATAATTAAAACAGCATTTATATTATATTTTTAGATTTACAAAAAAAAAGGTAGAGCAACTATTACTACACTTGTTTTATAGATGAAGAAACTGAGTCCCAAATATGTTAAGTGACTTGGCTAAAGTTATACAGATATTTAGTCAGAGCCAGGAAAAACCCCAGGTCTCTGACGACTTCAACACTAGTACTATTTCGAAAACAGTACACTGTCTCAAATTTTTGCATGAATGACTATATATACATATATATGACTATGTGTATATATACATACACACACACATATACATATATATATGAAGAGAGAGAGAAACTGGTAAACTAAAGTTATCATCCATTGGTCTTAGAGCTAGAGGATGTTAGTTAAGTCTATTAGCTTATATCAAACATACTCTAAAAGCCATTCACATTCAGTGACTTAAAGACTGCCTTGTTTCACATATGCACCATGCTTCATAAATGTTCCATGTACTGGAGCTCTTTGCTACTTATTCTCATGGACAGGAAAATCATTACTTTTCCAAGAACTTCAAGTCCAAAATTTTCGTGTGATTAATAAGAAGTAAGAGCAGGATAAGGAAAGAGTTTTGATAAGAAGAAAATTAAACAGTTCTCTACTGAAATAGGTAAGGCAATAATGCCTACCTTTTTGCCTTATTAAGTGTTAGGTAAGAAAACGTACTATTTTTTTCCTATGGGAAGCACCTTCAAAAGATGTTCCTATAGGTTTTTCTGAATCACAACTGATGAGTCAATAAGCATTTATTAAAAACACTAGGCATTGCGCTAGAGGATGACAAAAATATGAAAAATAAAATAATTCAGACTTTCAAGGATCCTGGTACAAGCATCTGACTCAGGAATCTTGGGCTTCCTGGTAACTCCAAAGTTCTAGTTTTGAATCTAAGTAGTATATGTAAAGAAACCTTTGATCTTCTTACAATAATCAAGGACAAAGCTAGGAAGGTCTTAACCCCTCATCTCTGAAACTTGTGCCCTGGGGTCCCCATTGTACTAACTGATGAGTGACTCACCTAGTTGGACAGCCAAGCTTTACTTTATACCTTTGCCATCTTATTACCATGTATGTGTCCCCTTTTTCCAACCCCTGCAGCTATGGAACCATAACTAAACCAATGCTGCCACTGCTACTTGAAAGGGTATAATTGATCTACCATTTCCTCTCTAACTCCACTCACCATCACCATGCCTTTAAAAACCAAAATATCTTTCTTGACCCGGGTCTGGCATGTAATAAGCACTTAATAAATTCTTCTTGATTTAAATGACCATCACTTCTCTACATGTATTGCTTCCTCTTTTAGACCGTAAACTCCTTGAGGGCAAGAGCTGTTTCTCCAGCACTTGGTATTTGTATCCCCATCACTTAGCATATTGTTGGCATACAGTAAGCATTTATTAAGTGCTCATTCATTCATTTACTCATTCTTGAAAAAAGGAGAGAGAACTTAGTCGAATTAGCTAATGGATCAATATACCGCTATAATCTGTCAAAGTTCTGGTAAATAACATCCTAAATCACTTCCAGGTCCCAGATTTCCTACCTTTGTGAGGTGTGGTAGTACCAAATAATTATTATTCCTTTAACCTTTACTTAATTAACCCTTATATGTCCATATAGGCACTAAAAAACTTTGAACGATCAAAAAATGGTCATTGACTTTTAAGTGTGAAATACCTTGGATAAAACAAACATACATATAGTATTCACATGCAGTACCAATAAATAGCTTTCTAGAATAGCTTTTTGTTATTTTAATTTCAGGTTTTAAAAAGGTATGTATTTGGTCTGAAATTGAGTTTGCTCCTAATTAGCCACATTTCTAAAGATAATCAAAATAGTCACCAAAAACATAGCCACTTATTAAAAAAAAAATACAGTCACCAAAAAATAGTCACTGGTAAATTCTACTATGTATGTGTCAAGTATGATCCTTCTTTCTTTCGATCACACATAAGAAGATTACTTTGGGATCTGGTGCAATGTTGGCAAGAAGAGTATGATGCCCAGGTTCACTCAAATATCACATTCAAGTATAATTCACAATATAGATAATCCATGAGGAAATCTGGCTATAAATTTGATTAAAAGAATGGCTGTTCTCATTCACAGAATAGTTTTACGTCTAAGTCTTTAATGACAGTTCTTATAAGAACATACTTACAATTATGCATGTAGGAACTTCACGAAGTGAATATTCTGATTTATTTGGAATATCCTGGTTGCCTATCAGTTCATAAACAGCAGGGTAGGATAATAAATTTACCAGTCCTAGAAAAGACTATGGAGAAAGAATGGAAAGAAAAGGAAGGGGGAGAAAGAATAGGAAAAAGATAAGAGAGAATAGGTTATTTAAAGTTCAATCTACGAAAGAAATTTTGTTTACATATGGCTAAGAAGTAGACTAGTATAACAGTTTTAATTGCAAGATTTCAGTCCATTTCTTTTTTAAAATAATAGTTAACAAAAATACATTCCAAGTAGAGTACATTTTAGACAAAGTGTCACATACAAAGGCATATTCACATTTCATTTAGCGACTATGAAAAAAACAACACGAAAAAATTTTAAAGGCATAAAGCAAAGTATTCAAAAACATTTGCTCCCATAGAAGCAACCTATGAACCTGAGTCATTTATTTAATTACTTAATGTTAGGGTTTTTAACCTTTTTTGTGTATCATAGACTCCTTTGGCAATCTGGTGAAACCAATGGTTACTGTTGTTAGAATATTTTTTTAAGTCCATAATTGAAAGAAATACAAAATTTCAGTTACAAGTTAGTGAAAATAAAGATGTATTTTTTTTTCTCATTCAAGTTCATAGCCCCTTTGAAATCTACCCATAACATCTCCAGAAATTCACTGCTCCCAGGTTAAGAATTTCTGTTCTATCTAATGCATAAAAATCAGAAACCAAATTAGCTCCTTACTGCTAGTTTATGGAAGCAATTTAGATTCATAGAAAAAAAAATTGCTTTCAGAAAGAAAGCAAAGTGACCTATAAAACTCATTGCTTTTCTAGACCAAATAACAGACTCTTTCTTAGTTTACCATTACAAGAATCTCTAAGTCTCTCTCTTCACTGTGATCAATTCTACACAAAACACAATCTCTCTTCTGAAATGCCCATTTTATCATATTACTCTTTTGGTCAAGAATCTTTAACAATTCCCTATTAACAAATCAAATTGGAGCTTCTTTACCTAGTTTTAAAAGCTCTTCATCTCCCTTTGTACTACCCAACAACTTTTTTTTTCTTTATTTCACAACACAGGCCTTTTATTATAGAAAAGCACATTTGCTTACTACCATAATACCCATATACACATATACATTATGTAAAATGTACTTGCCTCATCTTCATGCTCATGCTAGTAGTCTTCATTATACCAGATTACTCAAATTTTCAATGTTTTCTTTAAAACCACAAACATTCCAAAGTCAAGTTCACTCAGATATGATCTCATCATTTATACTTAAGACTTACAGTTTATATCCATTTGCATTTGCAGATATATTTTCTTATCAATTTAAAATTATGTTCATGTATCTATTAGCAGATAGAGTCACAACTTTTTAAGCTTAAAAGGAATTCAAAGATGAGCTATTTCAAGTTATGGCTTTTTAAAATGAAGAAATAAGGACAGAGATGAATGACTTGGCCAGATTTCTCAGTATCAGAATCTGGTCATAATTTTTTCTATAAAAGATCTATTTCTAATTAGCTCAGCTTATCTATTTTTTAAAAATAATTTTCTGACAAATTTTTACAGACTTGACTCTAATCTCTTTCTGGTAATCACATTGTACAATTTGGGTACATCAGTAACATTACATTGTTAGTGCCTTGAAGGAGGAGAGTCACCTACAGTTTTAGAAGCAAAAGAAGGAGAAGTAGCTTCATGAAAAAGACAGATAAAACTAATTTTTGAAAGATAGATAAGATTTTAGAAATTGGTCAGGAAGTGCCTTATAGACATAGTAGACAACAAGGAAGAAGGAAAGGGTAAGAAAAATTGAGGAAATACTAATTCCTAAGATGAGACACACCAGCCAGGCTACAGAATATGTGAAACATAGTAGTATAAGGTAATATTGAATGGTCTTAAATTCTTAGTTAAATAATTGTATTTTATTTGGTGGGTAATGGAGAGTTTGAACAAGGTTGTGAGAAGAGCAACCAAAGTGTTGTGTTAGGATAATTACACTGGCATTAGTCTATGTGAGCTACGGTAAAGTGGAGACAGGATTGGAGTGGGGTAGGGAGACCAAATAAATGGCTACTGAGATTCCAGGCAAGATGTAACAAGGGTCTGAACTGGAATAGCGTCAATGGGAAAAGAAAGAAGGGTACAGATATAAGAACAAATGAGGAAGCAGAAACCATAGGACTTAGAAACTCTTTGGACACTGACAATGAGGGAGAAGGAGAATCAAAAGATCAGTCTAAGATTCAAACCTGGAGATTTCACACTAAGAGAATGGTAAGGTCAAGACCTAGGCATGACTTCCCAGTTATATTACCAATAAGACAGAAGACTACACATATTCTTCAATCCTTACAACCTCTTGAATCTCTCTAAAATAGGATTTATACACAACAAAAAAATAAATTTCTCTATGATCTAGGACACCAAGCACTCAAATGAGGTAAAAATTCAGTGCAATAAAACCAAAGTAGTTTAATTGTTAGCCTCTAATTGACTCACTTAACACCCTTTCCTCTACTGCACATCACATTCTGGGAGCAGAGCTGCACAAAATGACCCACTAACTTGCAACAAGAACTTAACTCTACACTCTCTTTTCCATATTCCCTCCCACCCACCTCCATCCAACAGTGTTGTAGAAAATCAAAATGAAGACACTTGCCCAGGAAGCCCTCTATTCCACAGTAGAGCTCAAACAGAGAGCTATGGAAGAGAGGAAACTGAGGAAGGAAATAAGTATGGCTGTGTGGCACTCCACTGAGCATGAAAGAAAGGGACTCACATCCAGCTGGAGCCAGTTTTGCCCCCATCTGAAGCAGAAACTGAGGCCAGTGAATCATGAACTACTCAATGTGGAAGGAGACTGATGAGAATTCTGAAGTCCACCCCTCCTCCCCCCAAAGAGGAGTCATAAAGTAGATAACAGGGGTCTATAAGGGAAAAAAGTGAAATTCAAAGATCTCAAAAAGAAGAAAACTCAACTAAAGGCCTCAAAAATAAGCAGATAAGCTAAAAGAGAAAATAAAACAGAAAAGAATGTGACATCCATATCACTAAAATAATCCAGATACATATAAATGAATATTCTAAGACAAAGGAAAAAAATTCAAATGTCATGGGGCAGAAAACCTTGTAGATCCATCCCCAGGAGACCATGAAACCATGGCAGGATGTTACTTAATGGTTTGAAAGACAAATAAAAACAAAAGCAGAAGTTATGGTCTGCACATATAAACAATTATAAGAATAGAAAAAGAAAAAAAAAACAACTTCAATCCATGGTGGGAAGTATTAACAATGAAGCAAGAGAATAAGTGAGTGGGAATGAAAATACAAAGAAGTAAAGACCATCCAGAAGAGAAACAGAAAAGCAATAATGCTAAAAGAAAACACAGTCTCCACAAACAAAACATATTGATCTTCAAAAATGGATGAGCTAAACTTGAGAATTATAAGTCTTCCAGAACAGAAAAAGTGAAGAAGAAAAAGGGGATTACCATTCAAGAAATAACAAAAGAAAATTGCCAGAACATCTAAATGTAGGAGAAAAAAAAATAGCCAATCAAAAGAATCCCCAGATTGCCTCAAGAAAAACAGCTTATGCTGAAAACTTCAGAATCCACAGTAATAAAATTTAACAGTTCCACTGAACAAAAAAGCTTGCCATCAACCATAAGACCTTCAAATATACAGGAAATAAAACTGAAGTAACACAGAACTATTCAGCATCCAACAGAAACTGTAAGAGGGAATGGACTAATATCTTCCAAAGACCAAAGAAGGTCTAGATGCAACCTTGGGGTAAACTACCCTGCAAAACTGAATTAATTAATGAAAATTAATGAAAAAAAAAAAGACAGATGGTCAATAAAAGAGTTGTTCCAAATACCCCTAGAAAGAAAACTAGACCTGAAATTATTTGCTTCAAAAAACACCACAGACAAGAGACATACAAAAAGTTAAATGGAACAACCAAGAAAAACACAAAAACAACATAACAACAAAGAGATCAGTAAAACTATTTCTTTCTGAATGCACACAAGAAGACAAGGGTGAAAGCAGAGGTCAAATAAAAGTGATGGTAGAGAAACAGGCCATAAACATCATGGACTAAACCTCACAATATCATACTTACAGGTGAATCAATGTTTATTGCGGGTTTAAATTACAGAATGGGAGGGAGAATTAAAGCAGAGAGGAAAGGAAGAAAATGTAGAAAATATGTGATGTAAATTAATCCAGTCAATTGAGGGAAAATAACATTTGTAGAGTCTTCAGGAGAAAGGCTGATGAGACAGGGAGAAACTAAAACAGAAAATAAGAAATGGGAAAATCTTGTTTGAAGATGAATGCTTGCATAGAAGAAGAGAGATAATCTATAAAAGTAAATGCGGATGTTACAACTGGCATTATCTGCAGAGATTTGGTGCTTAGAAAGACCAATGCATCCTGCCTCAGGTTAAGAAGGAACAGAGCTACCGGAAGGCATCTGACATTCAAAAGAGTGGAAGGATATAGACATATGGAAGAAATTTCAAGCAAACAGGGTGGTAGGTGGAACAATCATGAGGAAGGCAAAGGTTAATGATGAACTGCACAATAAGGAACGTGGGAAAATTCCTACATGGGGTGATATCCTCTCTATTACCTGCAGATACAGTTATCTACGAAAAAACTGCTCTACAGGCCAAGATCCACAATGCAATAAATACAGAAATTGTTCAGAATAGGAACCCAAATAGATCCCTTAGATACTTTAACTCCATGAGGAATAGAAAGGATAAAGAAGGACTAAGTATAAGAGGGATCAATCAAAGAACTGAAGTGTAGAACAGATAAGGAAGATAAATAATAAAGAGAATGAGGGGGAAATCATTTTTGCAAAAAGAGACAAGAAATGAAACTGTAAAAACTAGGGAACAAAACAAGGAGAAGGAGAATAGGGATTTTATTTGACTGCTTAACTGAGAAAGGGATAAAGATGATATGGATTAAATAACTATATAAAAGCCATCAAGAAAAATGAAAAGTTAAACAAAATTCCAACATTAGTGAAGGAAATTACAAATT